GGGTGGCCACCCCCTCTTGTTAAAGGCATACAGAAAAACTTAAAGAAATTAGGAAGTCTTGCCCTAAAACAGCAAATGCAAGCCTTAGGTTCAGTCCTAAATGCCATCCATTGTCAAGGCAGAGAACGATTGTCAATTAGTTTAACTACCGATGCCCATTCTTTTAAGCTAAGTGATATGATATGGGTAAAAAAAAAAAAGGCATGTATAACCTCCAAAGCTCCTCTGGAGGGGGCCATTTACTGTTCTTTTCAGAATTAAACTGGCCTTCCAGGACTGGAAGTGCACTGCAGATTCAGCAACACCCTTTAAGCTGACCTCTGGAAAGTCAAAATTTCTCAAACCCTGCTCTAGAAGCCTGAGGATACTTCAAGCCCTGCTTCAGTCACATACTGGAGGCTGACTGATCGATGCAAAGCAGAGGATTAAGAATTCAGCTTAAGAACTCAGCGGACATTACTGATAAGCCATTCTTTTGCTTTGTGAATCTTTACATTTGCTAAACTGTTTGTCATTTTAATTGCTGTAGAACTAACTTTATTTGTTGTAGAATTAACAGAGTTGTCCCCATTGAGCATCTTAGAAAAGGGTTTCACTAGCATTCCCATTTTTTCTTATAATAGGAAATGTTCTTGTGCTTTTATGTATTTCTGTCTAATTTGGGTGTTTATCGCTTCCCTCACATACCCAGCATGTATGTGTATAGAAACTATCTGGCCACATGTAAAAATTTTCCATAGTTATTCATCCCAGCCAGGAGTTTGTTCTGGTGGCCAACAAGGCCTGTTTGGTATTGAGCATCTGCTTATGCAACTAAATTTTCTCAGTGTACTAAAGGGCTATTTTAAACATATGAAAAGGTTGCATATGCCCAGCTCCCAGCATTATGAATAGGCACATGTACCATAGGAATAATCCAGCTGGGATTTTTCCTTCTGCCTTACCCAAGGGGGGATGAACTAAGCATTCCCCTTTATGAAGGCCTCAAAACACGAGATGCTTGATCCTTCGACCAAGTTCCTAATATAGGAGGGACCCAGGTTTGGAAAGATGACAAATGGTCACCCCAGAGAATTATAAATAAATTATAAAGTCTTATGACCCAGTCAAATGGGCACAAAATGGGTGTCGAAAATGCCACACGCCTATATATATATATGCTAAATCGCATTATCTGGTTACAAACTGTCTTAGAAATTATAACTAATCAAACAGACATGGCTTTTGAGCTTATTGCCCAGCAACAAGCCCAAATGCATGCAGTTATTTATCAAAAGCACTTAGCTTTGGACTACCTGCTGGCGGAAAAGAAAAAGAAGTATGTGGTAAATTTAATAGCTCTGACTGTTGTTTGCAAATAATTAATAATGGTAAAGTTATAACTAATATAGCCACCAATCTTAAAAAAACTTGTCCGTGTCCTGGTGCAAAAATGACAAGGCATAAAAATCGGCAATTAATTTAAAAACATGTTCTCGGGTCTGGGAGGATTTAAGCATATTATTGGATCTGTAGTCCTATTGGTGGGATCCTGTCTTATCCTCCCTTGGATAGCCCCAATAATTATGAACGCCATTTCTAAGTTTGTGGAAGCAGTTATTAAACGAAAAACTGCGGCCCATATAATGTTAGTGCACCAAATTAAAAATAATGATGCTTTAAATCTATCAAAGATCAAGTGTCAAGGGTGGAATGATGTGGCAGGAGAGGGTTTGGTAGCAGTGAAAGGTATTTCCTTTTGAAAGCCAAGCTGCAAGCTCTAATGACCCACCAGGATGGCTTTGTTTGAAAAAGGCCAAATGGTTAGAGACTGATGGAGCTCATGGAAATGCAAAAGAGTAACTAATTCACAGACTTATTCAAAACCCCACTTCTGAAGTTGACTTCAACCCTGCAGTTCCTGGAAACCATTTGCTCTTTGAAAGATCTGATTTTTCTGAACTCGACCTTGTAAATTCCAAAGGAGATGTGTAATCCCTCAACACGACTCTCCTCTCTTACCTAAACAAGGGTATAAGACCCCGCTTCTCCCATTCTGCAGGGCTCGATTTGGACGCGTTAGCCCCTCAAGCCCGCTGGTCCAGTCAGCTTAATAAAGTGCCACTTCCTATAATAGTCTCGGTGTCACGATCTCTCTGTCTTCCTGCTACACCTTCTTTGTAGAAACACAGCATAGGAGAGTGAACCAATGTGCATGTGCCGGGGGGGGGGGGGGGGGGGAGAGAGAGAGAGAGAGAGAGATACTATTGTTACCAGGAAGGAGTGGAGTAGAGGGTATTTAGATATCTATGACAGTGGTATACTGGTAAATTTTTAACTACAGTCTCCAGGAACAAAACAAAAGTCCCTCATTTGCAACATTTGCTAATTCCCATAGTGTAAATACTTCGATTACTGCCAATTTCATGTTACCAATGTTACACTGAACACAGAGAAAAGAATTCAAATAGATTTTTAATTGGAGATTAGAGAAAATTACAATGCCAAGGGCAGAAATACAGTTCAAGATCCAGTGGGCCTGGACAAACTACTGACTTATTTTTCTGACCATGTACAAGACTAGCTACTTCAGAGCTCCAGTCTCCTCATCCTCAATCTGAAGGAACTTTGCTAAAGAAAACAAAAGTTTCCTTCTGTGTTCAGGCATTCATTTTGTAGTGGGAAGACAGAGATTGTGACACCGAGACTATTTTTTTTTTTTTTTTTTGAGTTGGAGTCTCACTCTGCCGCCCAGACTGGAGTGCAGTGGCTGCTCCCAGCCACCACAGCCTCGAACTGCTGGGCTCCAGAGATCCTTCTGCCTCAGCCTTCCGAGTAGCCGGAATTACAGGCGCGTGCTACCATGCCCAGTTGATTTTTTGATTTATTGTAGAGATGAGGTCTCACTGCCCAGGCAAGTCTTGAACCCGCAGGCTCAGGCAATCCACTCACCTTAGCCTCCCAAAGGCGTGGGATTACAGGCTGAGCCACCGAGCCCAGCCTATTATAGGAAGTGGCACTTTATTACGCTGGCTGGCCCAGTAGGCTTGAGGGGCTAATGCATCCAAATTGAGCCCTGCAGAATGGGAGAAGCGGGGTCTTATACCCTTGTTTAGGTAAGGGAGGGGGTCATGTTGAGTGATTACATATTTCCTTTGGAATCTTATGAGGTTGTACTCAGCAAAATCAGATTTTTCAAAGAACAAATGGTCTTCAGGAATTGCAGGATTGTAAACCATCAACTTCAGAAGAGGGATTTTGGATAAGTCTGTGAATTACTCTTTTGCATTTCCATGAGCTCCATCAGTCTCTAGCCATTTGGACTTTTTCAAACAAAACAGTCCTGGTGGGTCTTTAGAGCTTGCCTCTTGGCTTTCAAAAGGAAATACCTTTAACTGCTACCAATCCCCATTTATGCCACATCAGTTTACCTAGGGCCCTTCTGCTTAAGGGCTTTCCTCATTTTTATTTTATCTACTAAGATTGCTCAGATACCCAGCATGGATGAATTTTCCATATCCTCATCAAAGTTGGGAAGTCAAGTTAATTTAAAAGCCCAATGGGCAGAGTGTGGGCATTTCTTAAACCATGCCATGTCTTGGGGTCCTCTGCTCCTGGAAAGGAAGCTCAGCTGAGTTAGAAACACACATCCACTCCACTGGGGCTGTTGCTTCTGAACCTGGAGTTGACTTGGGAGATACATGACTGCACTCCACTACCATTCAACATGGCATTCTATCAAGTTGGTGCCTCTAAAAGCATCATTCAGCCATGGAGGTGAATTCAGTCAGAAGCAGTTGGTACACTTTTTTTTTTTTTTGAGTTGGAGTCTCACTCTTGTTGCCCAGGCTGGAGGACAGTGGCATGCTCCCGGCCACCACAGCCTCCACCCGCTGGCCTCAGGTGATTCCCACCCCCTACCACCCCAGTCTTCCAAGTAGCTGGAACTACAGCCATGTGCTACCATGCCCAGCTAATTTTTTAAAAAATTTATTGTGGAGATGAGGTCTTTCCAAGTTGCCCAGGTTGGTCTTGAACCTGTGGGCTCAGGCAATCCTCTCACCTCAGCCTCCCAAAGTGCTGGGATTATAGGCATGAGCCACCGTGCCCAGTGGTACATTGTTTTAAGAACCCCAATTACTTTAAACTATGTCGGTGGAAGGCAGCAAATTCCTGATGGAAATCCCAACAGCCTCTCCCATTTTCACTTTTCCACATTTGAAGATGACTGATTGCCTCGCACATGTTTATATCAGGTTTTACAAGAAACAAAAGTGTTTTTCTCATGTGTCATTTCTTTTGATTAGTTTTTTACAACTCTGGGAGGTGTTAGTTTCTCATTTTACAGATGAAAAGATGGTCAAGATGGAGTTGACTAAGCCCCAGTCAGACATTTGGTAAGTGGTAAAGCTGGAATACAAGTCCAAGTATTTAAGCTCCAGATTCTTGTCTCTCCAGGATAAGTGACTGCATGTCTGTGCATGTGTGTGTGTATGTGTGCACACAAACTACTTTTTATGGATTTACTACATAGATATTTCTTAAGAATAAGATTGGTGTCCCCTTCTTCCAATTTAGCCTGTGATATTGGATGAGTCTTCCACTAGCTCCTGAAAATTCAGAGCCAGAATGAAATTTCCAACCACAGTAGGCCTCATGATTTCACCAGCTATTTCTTGAGTGACTACTACATGCCAAGCAACATTGGGCACCACGCTGGGAGCAGGGAATAGGATCAACCTAACACGCCCATAGCACATACACAGATCCACTAAGAATCTGTGGTTTAAGCCAAGATGGTCTTAAAACCAGACCTTGACCATCAGTGAAAAAGAAGACATGATGGGGCAAGCAGGTGATGGCAAGAAATGGCAATTTAACCAAGAAGGTATCCTCGGTAGATAATTACAGACACATGCCTTCCTCCCACCTTTCATTACCTTTTATTTCTTCATGTCAGGCTAGAATTTGGGAAATATGCTCCTATCACAATGTATTAAATATATTCCTCACAAAATAAATTGTGTCAAACATTACTTTTATTTGTACTGGTCTTTAGAACTCCAAACATTTTGCATACACGATCTTTCTCATTCTCATAGTTTCTTAAGATAGGTATTTCCTACATTTCACAGATAAAGAAATTGAAGTCTAAAATGATGAACCTGGAGATAACTATGTCTGTTTTAAGAAGAAGAATTTTAAGTCCAACTACAGAGTGACTGAAGTTTCAATTCGCTTTCCACCATCTCAGCAGAATAGGGGAGCAATTTCAATTCTGTTGTAAATCAGGGTTAATCTTTCCAGAAATGTATTAATAGCAAAGACTGAAAACAACTAAAGTGTCTTCCAAAAGGGCACAGGTAACCTAAGTTACAATTAAGTTGCATAGTGCAATACCATGCAACTGTGTACAGGAAGCTCCATGTGTTCTTGCACGGGAAGTTCTCTAAGATACATTGTTATGAAAAGAACAAGTGCAGAACAGTGTACATAGTCTGTTACTTCCTAGGAATGATAAAATGTGAAGATAAAATATATATTCATTATTGACTGAAATCGGCATGAATTAATACTGGGCAAAAACACAAGGAAAAAAAAAAGATTGTGGGGCACACCTCATCAACAAGGGTACCCGCATAAGGAACATTTGTATATCTAACCCCGAATTGTACCCCATGTCTTTAAAATAAAAATAATAATAATAAAAAAAAGATCACCTGGGGAAAATTGAGGGGTGGATTCTCAGTATATATCCTATTGTTTCAAGTTGTTTGAACCCTATAAATGTAACGCTTATTTACAAAATTAGATACATTTTGCACTAAAGAGACTTTCACCTCAATAATATTTTCCTTCCTCTCTGCTATCCTTATTCCAAAACACAAAACATAAATAAATACACCTAGAGCAAATTTTTAATTTGAAAAAATTTGCAGGTGCAGAATCAATCCATGATGTGGGAACATTGACATCATCCATCCATTTATTTCTGAGAATTAGTGGGTTTGGTAGACACTCAGGAACCTGGACTCTCTCAGGAACTTTTGAAGCCTAAGAAAGAGAAGAAAAAGTAAAAATATTAGAAACCTCTTTTTTCACCTTCCTCACACATACAGAAAAACGTACAGATTTTTTGCTCTTAGTGAGTTAGCTTCTCTCCAGGTACCACCCTTCTCAATTCCTCACATAACTCTCTATGGCAAAAGGACCCGGCTTCCTGGGGTAGATGCTCTTCAGATAGGGTTACCAGATTTGGCAAATAAAAATACAGAATATCCAGTTAAATTTGAATTTCAGATAAACAAATTGTTTCTGTTTTTAGTATATAGCATGTCTCATGCAATATTGGGGGGGGGGAGAGCATACTAATACTAAAACAATTATTTGTTGCTTATTTAAAATTAAAATATAACTTGGTGTCCTGTATTTTATTTGGCAACATTATCCTCAGATGCCAACTGGGAGAAGCTAGGTAAGTGCAGTTACATTCACTAACCCAGAGGAACAAGAAGTGCCTAGTCCATTGCGATCCAATAGAACTTGCTGTGATGACAGACCTGTTCTATACCTGCGTTGTTCAATACAGTAGCCACCAACAACTCGAAATGTGGTTAGTGAACCAGATAAACTGAAAAAAAATTTTTTAGATTAGAAAATATAGTCTATTTAGAAAGTAAATTAGTGGGAGCGAAAGAAAGAGATTCACCTCCCCAAGGTGGGAGAGGGGACCAAAGCTAGAAAGCATGGTGACAGTCATAAAATCTCAAAGAGCACATGGCCACACCAAAGTCTAGTAAGGCAATGGCTGCGATGGTCTGGCAATTTTTTATGTAATTAATTTAAATAGAAAATGCCACATGTGATTAATGGCTACTGTATTAGAGAATACAGCTCTAGAACAGCTGCTTCCAACTTAGCAACTTGTGATGTATGGTCAAGTGGTGGCTAAGATGATACATAACTCAGGAATAAACTCATAAGTTTCTGCAGTTTAGTTAATGCCTACTCCATTTCTGTGCAAATACTCATATGATTCATTCAGTGTATTTGCTCCAAGTGTTTATGAAAGATCTATTGTATGGGAAGGATGTGAAGAGCCATAGTACAGAGATGAGTAAGATATAGTTATTCAACAAATTCATCCTGCAAATGACAGTGTTAACTGGATAATCCCAGCATTAGAATGTAAAAGCCACTAAGGAAGTTTCATTTCAGAGTAAACATTGTTAAAATGGATGAGACAGCACAGAATTAGGTCACCGTGTGACCCTTTTTTCCATGATTTTAAGCAAACATCTAGTAATATAGAACCAGGGCATACTAAAGATGATTATTTTAATGCATGCTACCAGCCAGCAGAGAACAGATCCTTAAAACAATTAATGGCTACCTGGGCAACTGAGGGTTTTAATGACACACTAAGTCTGAAGAGGTTAGTGCAGAAACTGGTAAAAAAGTAAGAGTATGGAAAATAAATGGAATAAACTTCTAAATTTCATTGTGTTCCTGGTTGCTGAGTAGGTTGAGTAGGTAATGTATTAACAATGGTTTGTGGACAGACATTTTTACACAGAAATTCAGATAACCACACTCTAGGCAGTGGAAGAGTTTTGACTTATTTTGACATCTATTTTTTGACTTATTTAACTGATATTTGAGTTTCACTAAGTGTTAGGTCCTCTGTTAGATGCTGAGACATAACAGTGAGTAGATAGACCAGGTCCCTACTTCTTGGAGCAGAATCTCATGGAAGAGGCAAACAATAAGGAATCCGAAAAATAAAATCTCAGATTGTATTTTAAATAATCTAAACAGGATGATTGATGGAAAGCAATCTTAGGTGAGAAATGGGGTTAGGGAGTTTACTTTTTTGTTTCTTCTCTTTATAATTGAAGTTACAAAATGAATACAGATGGATTTTAAACACTTCACACACAAATGTTTACAATTTTTTTTTTTTTTTTTGAGTAGGAGTCTTACTCTGTCACTCAGACTGGAAGACAGTGGCATGCTCTCAGTCACTGCAGCCTCGACCTGCTGAGCTGAGGTGATCCTTCTGCCTCAGTCTTCCAAGTAGCTGGAACTACAGGCACACGCCACCACACCCAGCTAATTTTCTGATTTACTGTAGAGAGAGGGTCTCACCAAGTTGACCAGGCTGGTCTCAAACCCCTGGGCTCAGGCAACCCTCTCACCTCGGCATCCCAAAGTACTGGGATTATAGGCATGAGCCACAGTGCCCGACCTGTTTATAAAGATTAACTTCTCATCATGCCATTCTAACTTCACCTCCCTGAGATGACATGATGAGTTTTTTTCCCACAACTTTCTCTATATCCATTCACTATCATCAGTTGTGTTTGTGATCCTGTTTCACTGAATTATTATTTTTGGTAGCTGTATAATATTCTACAGTGTAAATAAGATATCTAAGTTAACAGTATTCTTATCTATGGTTATTTAGATGATTTACAGGTATAATTAACTTTTTTTCTCCTTACAGTGTTAAGAGTCCTTACAACATATAATCTTACATACTGGGGCCTTTATTTCTAGATGGTAGATACTCCCCTTCCCAAGTTATAGCAGAATGGGGCAAATGCTCAAATATATATTTTTTGTGTAATTGAGTGAATGAACGCAGAAACACATGAGTAGCTGCTTTGGGGTCAACAGTTGGCCCTGTGGCAATCACCTGGGATGACAAATTGGCCCCCTACTAACCCTGTGCCAGAAAGTGGGGCTGGTAGCCGTTAATGGTATTTCCTTTTGAAAGTCAAGCTGCAAGCTTTAAAGACCCGCGGGGCCAGGTTTTGTTTGAAAGGGCCAAATGACCAGAGACTGATGGCTCTCATGGAAATGCAAAAGAGTAACGAATTCACAGACTTATCCAAAACCTCACTTTTGACGTTGACAGTTTACAAACCTGCTTGCAGACCCTGCTGCCCTGCAGTTCCTGGAGACCATTTGTTCTTTGAAAGATCTGATTTTTCTGAACACCACCTTGTAAATTCCAAAGGACATGTGTAATCGCTCAACACGACCCCCCCTTACCTAAATGAAGGTATAAGACCCCACTTCTCCTGTTCTGTGGGGCTTGACCTGGAAGCATTATCCCCTCGAGCCTGCTGAGCCGGCCAGCATAATGAAAGTTGCCACTTCCTAGAATAGTCTCAGTGTCACGATCTCTCTGTCTTCCCGCTACAAAATGTCTATTAAATACATTTTAATAGATATTGCCTATATGACAATGACAATTCTTTCTCATCCTCAGTAGTCCTGAGTGTTACTGGTTTTAGTAGTTGTCTATTTCTATGTAAGAAATGGCTTCCCTTTGTTGTACTAATATGTATAACTTAACTACTAAGATGGTTAACAGTCTTTATTTTTTCATACATATTGACCATTTGAATTTAATGAAAGACATGAAATATACTGTTTAATAATTTTTCATATTATATTGTTTACTGCTTTTCTAACCATTTGCAGTTCTTTGTAAATTGAGATCATTAACTCTGTATATATTTTTGCAAATCTTTTATCCCAACTTATTGTCCAAGTATGTGGTATTTTGTTATGGCAGCCTGAGACAGATTCTGGTGTCAAAGAGTAGGGTGGTGTTATATCAAGTTCCTAAAAATAGTGGCTTTGGAACTGGACAATGGGTAGAGACTGGAAGAGTTTTGAGGTTCATATAGAAATATGAATATTAAAGGCAACTCTTTGAAAGCTCAGAAAAAAATCAGAGAACTGGAGCAAAAGCTTTCATTTACTTAAATAATATGAGTAATAATGAATAGAATGTTGACTAAAATATGGACATTAAAGGAAATATGGTAAGGTCTCATGGAAATTAGAGATAGCTTATAGGAAACTGGAACAAATGTGATTCTTGGTATAAAGTGATAAAATACTTGGCTGAGCCATGTTCTAGTGCTTAGTGGAAGGTAGAATCTTCAAGCAATACAACTGGATATTTAGCAGAAGAGATTTCTAAGCTAAGTATTGAAAGTGTGGTTTGGGTTTTCCTTATTGCTTATGTGAGAGGAAAGAGATGAATTGAAGAGAAATTTTTTTTGGCAAAAGGGAATCATAACTTGAAAATTTGGAAATTTCCCAGTCTATCCATATTATAAAAACTGAGAAAGCTTTTCTTAAAGAGATATGATTGGAAAACCATTTGATAGAGATAATGGGTGTGAGTCATGTATTTAATCAGTTATCTCAGCAGAAGTCAGGAATAGAGATGAGATTATACCAGCAAAGATGTTGCCAGTTTTACCTAATGTAGACTGAGAAAACAGGAAGAAATGAAGAAAAATCATCAGATTTTTTTTTGAATTCTACAGGAGAAGACCATAGAGCTAGCTGTCTGGTGTGAATATATACTATCTTTTTAGAAAAGGGAAGAAGGAACCCAAAGACAATTTAGAGATAATTAAGGCTGCCACTTCCACCTCAGACTCAAGAGTGCACAGATGGGGATAGGGTGGGGCTAGAATTAGGTTGGCAAGGATGACTCCACCTCAGTTTCAAAGGATGGCATGCAAAGCTGTGTGGGAGAGCCCTCTCAGAGGGCTGCCTGGGTGGGAACCCAGAGGTAGGGAGATGAAGTAGGACACCCATAGAACCAGAGGTGACACTGCCATACCAGTGGACCTAGACAAATTATCAAATCAAAGAGGATTATTCTCAAGGTTTAAGATCTAATGGAAATTGCCTTATCAGGTTTTGGACTTGATTAGGACCCACCACCTCTTCCTTTATTACTCTTTCTCCTTTTTGGTATGGGGATGTCTATTCTATGCTTGTCCCCTCATTGTATTTTAGAAGCATGTAACTTTACTGGTTTCTCAGGTTAACAGCAAGAGAGGAATTTTTGCCTCAGGATAAATCCTACCTTGAGTCTCATCCATATCTGACTAGTTGATATTTAGATTATGCTTTGAACTTTAAAACTGATGCTGGAAAGACTTTGGGGGCTGTTGGGATGAAATGAATGCATGAAGTACATTCAACCAAGAATATTGGTTGGCTAGGGGTGGAAGGCTATGGACTTGAATCATCGATACAGAGACCTTTTGATGTCTGTCCATATTGCCACAGCTCCTAGAGAAGGGCATGGCAAGAATTCAAGCACTCCTATACATTCCTGAACAATATTCTTGAGAGCTAATAAAAGGTGTGCTTCCCCTTATCTCCTATGCACTCCCAGTAAGAAACTTCAAAGGATCCATAACTTCCCTGCAGACTAGGCCCAATAAACAGAGAGATATTCCTGAACACATTCCTGAGAGTCCCCTTATCTCCTATGCACTCCCAGTAAGTAGTTTCAGGGGATCCTTGACATCCCTGCAGACTATGTGTAATCAACTGAAAGATGTAAATCCCCATTTACTCCCTTTTCTTAGTGGTCACAGGTTTGAATAGTATATCAATGTAATCCTAAATTTTGTGATTTGTATAGCCTTTGTATCAAAGTAATTGTAAGTTTTGCAATTTGTATAACCTTTGTATCAATGTAATCGTAAGCTTTGTGATTTGTATAACTTTTGGGTAAGACATGCTGTCTTAGGCCTTATAAACTCCCTTTACTGTATGGCAAGCTTGATTAATGCTTTTGCTGGTCCTTACTTACAAAAGCTGTGAGATACCTCTGGTATCTGGCACTAGGAAGTCTGGATGGTAAAATGGTAACAGACAACTGTAACTTAAGTTCTATACAATGCTCTGCTGGTCATGTGGCTAATCTATAGGTACTAACAACTCTGGACTTATAAAAGGGGACTGTAAAGCCTAAGGGTGAGCAGAACCATTTTAGAAAGACCTCGAGTCCGTCTCTGTTCCTCGGATTCAAATTCAGAAATAAACTTTTCTACCAATTCCCTACCCCTTCGATTTATTTATTGATATCAAGGGAGAGCAGCTGAGCATTGCTCGGACCATAACATCATGTCCCCCCAAATTCATATATTGAAACCTTAAGCCCCAGTGTGACTGTATTTGGACATAGGTCCTTTAGGAGGGAGGTAATTAAAATTAAATGAGGTCATAAAAATGGGCCTTAATTCCATAGGGCTGGTGTCCTTATGAAAAGATAAAGAGATACTAAATCTCTCTCTCCACTCACACAACCAAGGAAAGGCAATGTGAACACACAATGAGATGACAGCCATCTACAATACAGAAGAGAGCTTCATCAGAAACCAAAACGTTGGCAATTTGATCTTAAATTTCCTGATTGTAGTATTCTGAGAAAATAAGTCGCTTAGATAAGAAGTTACCTTTTGAATGAATACATTTCTGTTGTTTAAGCCATCCAATCTCGATGGCACTCAGCAGATGGCAGCCTGAGTAGGCTAAGATAGTGAGGGATGTGGTAAAAGTTTAGGTCCTAGTTGGCAATGAAACACCAATGACTTGAGCTTACCACACTTTCTTCTTTCAGAAGGAACCTCAAATATAAGCCATGTGTACCAGTTCTAAATCTTAAGAGATATTCCCTCATTTTACCCAAACAACTCTAATATAATGAAGTCCAATGAAGTTTGGATACTTTTTTCAATATGACTATATTAATTCATGTCATAGTCCAATTTATCTTGAGACACAATGTTATACTTATTTTTTAAAATATAGATGTATCTATTAAAGATGTCGTTTTATTTCCTAGGTGTAAATACAGGCAATGGCTTTTAACAGGTTTCTTCATGATTTGAATCTTACATGGTTTGGTACAGTATTAAGATATTAAAATAAAATAGAGAGGAAAAATCCTGTGGCTACATATGAACTCTTCTTAGTTTCAGTATGCACAGAGAATTCTCAATTAAATTCCTAATACTATTCTAACAAACATAAATGATCTTAACAGGAACATATAAGCTTATAACTATAATTTAGGATCAACAGATGGTAAAACCTTAGAAAGTAACCTTAATATAACTAAAATACATTTTTAGCTGGGTGTGGGAGGCGGAGGTGGCAATATTGCTTGAGTCCAGGAGTTTGAGACCAACTGAGGCAACATAGTAAGACGTCATCTCTTAAAAAAAAAAAAAAAAAAAAAAAAAAGCCAGGCATGGTGAGGTGCACCTGTAGTCCAAGCTACTCAGGAGACTGTGGCCAAAGCATCACCTGAGTCCAGGAGGTCAAGGCTATGGTGAGCCATGGTCACGCCATTGCACTCCAGCCTGGTCAACAGAATGAAACCACAAATCAAAAAACTAAAACAAAACAAAAAACTGTTTTAAATCAGTTATGAAATTTATAATACTTTCTTTTCTGTAAACTCAAAGGGGAAAAATATAATACTTGTAGACAATAGTTCAAATTATTTACAGAAAATAAAATAGAAAGTGAGCACAAATGATGGATGAAGTAAAAGATGTTGCTACATAGATTACTTGGCAATCTAAAAAAAGATATTGTTGGTGATTTATATTAAATAGATCTGCTTTGTTTTGGATACCTCCCACACCAACATAACAACTCTATCTCAGTCTCATATCTCAGTAAATTTTCTTCCCTTAAGCACTTCAGAGTTTAGGATGTCATTAGTAACATTCTGGTATGGAAACAAAATTCACTCAGTATGTAATGATTTTTTTACTGTTTCCATTTTCCTGATAATAATCTCTCAGAGAGGGTTGGTTACATAATAGCCAACAGTTAGAAGTACTAGCTTCTGGGTTTTGGAATTTAGACACTGGCTAAGCTCTGTTCCTTAGTTTTCTCATCTTTAAATTAAGACTAAAGATAAAGCTTACCTCTGTAATTGTTCGATAAATGAATTAATATACTGAAGGCTCATAAAAATGTGCCTGGCACACAGGAAATGCCTAATAAGCCGTCTCTCTTGATCAACCTGTGCTCTGATTTGAGCTTAAGCTGCTAAGAGACAGGAAGTTAAGCACCTAGGCCAAGGTTACACACCTATTGGGTGCTGGGTTCAAAAGCTATTTGGTCTGTGAATAGAAAGGATCCAAAGACTTATATGAAGCAATTTCGATCTAAGGATCCAAGTTCTTAGACATACAAGAAATTGAGCAGAAAGATTCCTGTCCTCACAGCAGACCCAGGCCAGGAGCCCTGTGAGGTCATACCTCCGCACAATTCTGATGATTCTCGACCCAGCTACCCATTAGAATCGTTTTGACTTTAAAATGTACTCGGGGGGGGGGGGGAGGGCAACCCCTTCGGGTACCCTCTCACTGTGGGAGCTTTTCTGTCGTCTCAATAAATCCTGTTTTCAAGAAAAACAAAAACAAAAAAAAAAAACGTCCTCGGGAAATTGGAACGTGAGACCGTCAAGGTGGATCATCTGTCTTCCTGACTTAGCCTTTACTCAAAGTAGACACCGGATCCTTTTTCTTAGAGGATGGTTCGCGGGAGGAGGAGGGGATGGAAGGTGGGAGGACGGGAAAAGTCTAGACCCACCCCAAACTGGTGTCAGCATCTGTAAAGTAGGAGGCGCATCAGCAGGAGACAACATCTACCTCAAACTTTACTATTTTTCTCTCCTGGCACACACTGCTCAAAACGAAAGGATTCCACGAAAAACGCTTCGGTGGAGCTCAGGGAGCGTATGATAAAAGCGGTCGCGTCTGCCTAGTTGGTCTAAGCAGTTGGGCGCTGAGGCGTGGGCAGACGTAGCCCCCTAGGGTTCCCTACCCACTCATTTCCTGTCACAGCACAAACCGAGATCCAGAAGAAAAACGGTGAGACTCACAGAACCCAAGAATATAAGACCTTAGAGATGTGTGCCCGGTCTTGCGGTTGGGGCAGCCAACAGCAAAGGGCTTGGGGTCTTAAAATGGCGGTATTAACTTCAGTTCATTGACTGCCAGGCGGAAGGAGCTGCAATTGGAGTTTAAATTCAGTCTGTATTCTAAACTACCATATTTCAACGCCAGGGGCTCAATTTTTCAGAGACCTCTTTCAACGCCCCGGCTAACTTTCAGACTGTACTCTATAAAAAGGAACGGCACCTAGAAATCTTACACAATTAAGACGGGTTATCTACGGCAAAGAAGAATCTAACATATCTCGAGAGTAGGGAGTTTGTCACCCCATTCGGGAAGTTTGCCTTCAGCAACCCCTGAGCAGTTTTTCGGAACCCGGCGCCTCTCCAATTTCAAGCTGTAGTTAGGCGTTACAGATCATGGCTGACCTTACAAAATGCAACTTGTTAGAAATTTCTAGGGGATACTATGAGCTCTGTACAAACATTAGATCCTTAATTGGCTTGCCATTTTTTGCAGGCAAGACCAACTTTTATTCACATCGGTTTTCCCCAAAATCTAAAAGCAAGACATCATCGTCACCCTAGTTTAGGACAAAATTAGCTTACCTTAACTCCTCCGAGCTTTTATCTACAAACGGTGAGTTTAGCTCTTCCTTTGAAACGATGGGGGCTCTGAAAAGAGCCTTTGAGTTTGATAGCGTTTCCGTTTAAGCCCAGATGCCTCTTAAATCACTTGCCCTTAGCCTTATGGTGACTCTCGGTCTTCTTGGGCAGCAGCACGGCCTGGATGTTGGGCAGGACGCCGCCCTGCGCGATGGTCACACGGCCCAGCAGCTTGTTGAGCTCCTCGTCGTTGCGGATGGCCAGCTGCAAGTGGCGCGGGATGATGCGCGTCTTCTTGTTGTCGCGGGCCGCGTTGCCCGCCAGCTCCAGGATCTCGGCGGTCAGGTACTCCAGCACCGCCGCCAGGTACACCGGCGCGCCGGCCCCGACCCGCTCAGCATAGTTTCCCTTGCGAAGCAGGCGGTGTACGCGGCCCACGGGGAACTGCAGACCCGCACGAGAGGAACGGGATTTTGCCTTAGCACGAGCTTTGCCTCCTTGCTTGCCACGTCCAGACATTGCAAACAAACAAAAACGCACCAAAACGAGAACCTCGGGCTGAAGAGAAAAACAAATAAAGTCAAGGAATATGTAAAACATGGCTGCTTTTATAGGTATTTCCTGGGGAGTCAATCCGACTGTTTGATTGGCTAATAGGAAGAGCAGTCAAGTAGCCAATAGAAAAGGTATATTTTCATACCTAATTTGCATGGTTCTGCCCATAGATGACAATCTGCTGTTTGTCTTCCAATTAACTAAGACTCGCTCTGCATCCCTCATTAGCATAAGAGCCCTATAAGTAGCAGAAATCTGCTCCTCACTCTCCATACACTTCTGGTGTTCTAAGATGCCTGAGCCAGCGAAGTCCGCTCCTGCGCCTAAGAAGGGCTCCAAGAAGGCGGTGACCAAAGCACAAAAGAAGGACGGAAAGAAGCGCAAGCGCAGCCGCAAAGAGAGCTACTCTGTGTACGTGTACAAGGTCCTGAAACAGGTGCACCCCGACACCGGCATCTCTTCCAAGGCCATGGGGATCATGAACTCATTCGTCAACGATATCTTCGAGCGCATAGCGGGCGAGGCCTCGCGGTTGGCACATTACAACAAGCGCTCGACCATCACCTCCAGGGAGATCCAGACGGCCGTGCGCCTGCTGCTGCCCGGGGAGCTGGCCAAGCACGCCGTGTCCGAGGGCACCAAGGCCGTCACCAAGTACACCAGCTCCAAGTAAACTTGGCAAGTAAGCGTCTTTGCACCTAGTCCCAACGGCTCTTTTAAGAGCCACCCACTTGCCCACAAAGAGAGCTGTGGTCAGACACCTATTTGGTGGGCTGGAGTAAGCTTTATTTAGAAAAATCAGGTGCATAAAGCTTGTATGTACTTTTTAGTGGACAGTAAGCCTTTCAGGGCCAGCACTTAAAAATGAATCCTGAGTGGCTACCTGGGCCTAATTTCAAAATGGAGCCAAGCGGCCATTTGCTGACTACAAGGCACACACGTAGTGTGTTCACGGAAGACGCCACATGCTGGCGTAACTTTGGGACTCGGCTCTCCCTGTTTATGCCGCCGGAGTCAATGGCTGCCGGAAAGTCCTATTTCGCCTCCTGGACCTAGCCAATAGGCTGTCTTATGGGCAATTTTGGCATTAGCCAATCGGAACTAAACAGTGTTGCACCCCCTCGTTTGCATAAACGGACCGGAGTGGGAACAGGGGCAGGAAATTTTTCTTTTTAAGACAGCCCCTCTCTTTGTTCTTGAGCACGCTTTTTACGTACTGATGGCTGACTCCGTGGTTTCAAACTATTGGAATAAAATCTCTCAACCTAATTCTCAGTACTGCGGCTTTCATTATGGGGCTAAAGCAGTACAGAACTAAAGTTGATTAAACAGTCGTCCAGATGTTGCTTCAAGTATCCTAGTCCTCTATTCAATCGGGTTAACTATAAAGATTCAGACTGGTTGTTTTGTTTTGAACCCCTGTGCTCAATCTCTCGATAGGTTCGGTGCAGAGCATTGAAGCTTAAAATTCCACAGGGGGCTTGTAACATGCAAAAAGGGTTGAAAAGCTCTGCTTTAGACGAAGGCAGCTCAAAGTGCTGGGTGAATAAACAGGCATCCACTGAAGACTAAAATGAAAGCAAGTAAATTCTAGGCATAGGGTGCAAGAATTGAGAGGGAAGCCATTAAACCTGGTGTAAATTTATGGCTCCACTGGATGACCTAACCTTCCCAGACAACTGCAGGCTGCTTTCTGGGCTGGGAAATTCCACCTTCCCTTAAACACTCGACCCATAATCTTTGTTCTAGGCAAAAATTTTAAGACGAAATACTAGAAGCACTTTGCTCGTCTGATGTTTTCAAGTCGAGTCCGTTTTCAAAACCTAGGAGTGACGTTTCTTTCTCCATTAAAAACTAGAAAATGCAAGAAATAAAATTTATGCTAAAAAGAAAACAGATTTTTAACAATTTTCGTTAAATGCCATGTGATTTAGGTTGCAAAATTCTTTAACATAAGTACCCTATGATTTTAAATCTTCACTTTTTTTTCACTCCTGGAAAGTGTAATAAATTAAGGCCTGTCTGGTGCTGGAAAGGCCTCCAATTGAACACTGCTCTGCACTCACTGGCTGCCTTACCTGGCTGACTTATCTGAGAAATTCTGATGAAAAAATGGTGCAGCACTGAACTAATTAAGGTGGAAGTGCAAATGCAGGACGCTGGCAGGTTATTGTCACACATACTTCACAAACAAATGCAATATACAGACTCCTTCATAACTGAATTCTCTAGTGATCTTGGACAAGAACTTTAGTCTAATCTAGGCTGACCTCTCCTAACTGCCAATTTATCAGTTTAACCCAAAACTGCAAACAAAATTCACTGTTCTCAGGCTGATTGCAAGATTTTTCCCCCTGCCTTTTCCCCTGCTATATAAATTCTGGTTTTGCCTGTGTTGGATGAAATAATTCTATTGGTTGTTCTCCCTCCAATGCAAGTAAACAGCAGGCTAATCATTAACTCCTTGGCCATTTACTTTTGGAAGTTCTGCCAAGATGCTGTTTATGAGTGTCCTATAATACGAACCAACAGAAATACGTGATTTGAAGTTTCAAATTGTTTAGCCCTGGGTCCTTTGGGTTTTCTGCTCACCTTCCATTGCCTTTTGCATGCTGAAGGGTTATTGCCCAAGTTTGTTTCTTGTTCTGGTTATTCTGGTTGCACTTGGCTGATTGGGTGCATATTGGTAACTAGTAGAATTTGAGTAATGTTTTTATGATAACATCACTAAATGATTAATCAGAGGCAAGGATAGGTTTTTGGGTTGTTTTTGAGTTTAAGGATGTTGATAATCTGAGAACATAGGATCAGAGTTGGTGTTCTCTTTTTGGTCTTTGATGGGATCCTTTCTGTTTGGTGTTTTGTGTTTATATGTCTCTTTCCACAAAACTTTCATGTTTACCTTTTATGAGTCCACATAGTTGTCAGTATATGCAAAAATAACATTCTTGTGTCAAAGATAATAGAGTATAAAATGACTGCCTGTCATAACTTTTTTTTTTGTTGGCGTCTCACTTTATTACTCAGGCTGTAATGCAGTGGCATGCCCAGAGCCACTGCAGCCTTGCCTGCTGGGCTCAGGTGATCCTTCTGCCTTAGTCTTCCAAGTAGGGAAAACTACAGGAACACACCACCACACCCAAATAATTTTTTTTTTAATTGTAGAAATGAGGTCTCAACACTTTGCCCCTGGGCTCAAGTGATCCTCTCACCTCCACTTCCCAAAGTGCTGGGATTACTGGCATGAGCCACTGTGCCTGGCTATATCATAACTTTTGACTTTAAGAAGGTGTCAGTACTAACAGGAAACTTAAAACAAGAATTACGCCAAGAAATCTGAATATTCAGTCTCTTTATTTGCTATACCAAACTCTCTAAAGTTTATGTTCTAATAATTCCAAATTAGTCTCTTCAGTCTTGTTAAGTAAAGTTAGAGAGGAGAGAGAAGCATGATGTTATTATAAATTGGACTGAGTCAGAAAAAAATGCTTCCAATACCCTTATAAACCAAAGATTTAGTATTTTTAAACCTTAATGGATCCTATTGTAAAGAACATGGCACTGGAAACTAGAATTTTCTATCAAACATAGGAGGGAATCAGAATTATTCACATTCTTAACAGTGGTGATTCCTGAGGAAACTCTTATCTTAATCACATGCCTTTTTTTTTTTAAAGCTAATCAACATAATTAATAGATACCTGTGGCTGTTTTTACCTCCCTTAAATTATGTCTATGAGCACAGTTAGTTCTTCTAACTTGTACAATGATTGATGATATTTTGCTTTATGAATACAAATATTTTTGAACAAATTGTCTATCAGCAGGAAATTAATAAGTTATAATGCAAACTTAAATTTTAATTAGCTTATATAAAGACTTAAAAACAATTTTAAATAAAAACTCTAATTTGCCTTTAAAAATTAAAATTTTCCATATACTTTTAATGTGTACCTCTCTAAGTTGTAATTCAGAGAAAGAAAGAAAATTAAACTGTGAGTTTAATTAGTAGCCAACAGGTTTAAGTATGAAAAAAACCAAACAAACCAAAGTACTACGCTATTTTCTTTTTTGAGTTGGAGTCTCACTCTGTTGCCCAGACTGGAGTGCAGTTGCCGCTCCCGTCCACCGCAACCTCTACCTACTGCAGCCTTGACCTGCTGGGCTCCGGCCATCCTTCCGTCTCAGCCTTCCAAGTAACTGGGACTACAGGCGCGTGCTACCACGCCCGGCTAATTTTTTGATTTATTGTAGAGATGAGGTCTTGCCTGCCCAGGTGGGTCTCGAACCTGCAGGCTCAGGTAATCTACTCACCTCAGCCTCCCAAAGTGTGGGATTACAGGCTGAGCCACCGAGCCCGGCCCACTATTTTTAAACAACTTAAAAATGTTAATACATTTTAAGGAAATATACTCTAACTTAATAATTTTGTTTTAGAATGGTTCTATGTCTTTTTTATTATTATCATAATGTTAAAATAGTATTAGCATAATATTCTATTTTGAAGGGTCATTTTCTATAAAAACTAATTAATTTAAATTTACTAAATTTCTTCCAATAGGTTTATGGGTTAGAGGAGTTAATGTGGCAGAATGTGGCAAATGCTCAAATATATTTCTTGTATGATTTAGTGAATGAATGCAGAAACACATGAGTGGCTATTTCGGAATCAGCAGTTGTTCCCATGGCAATTACCTGGAATGACAGAATGTCTCCCACTAACCCTGTGGCCGAAAGCGGGGTTGAGAGCAGTTAAAGGTATTTTCTTTTGAAAGCCAAGTTTTAAAGACCCGCCAGGCCGGTTTTGTTTGAAAAGGCCAAATGGCCAGAGACTGATGGCTCTCATGGAAATGCAAAAGAGTAACTAATTCACAGACATATCCAAAACCCCTCTTCTGAAGTTGACAGTTCACAGCCCTGCAGTTCCTGGAGAACATTTGTTCTTTGAAAGATCTGATTTTGCTGAGTACAACCTTGTAAGATTCCGAAGGAAATACATAATCACTCAACACGACCCCCTCCCTTACCTAAACAAGGGTATAAGATCCCCGCTTCTCTCCTTCTGTGGGGCTCAATTTGGACGCATTAGCCCTCGAGCCTGCTGGTGTAATAAAGTTGCCACTTCCTATAATAGTCTCGGTGTCACGATCTCTCTGTCTTCTTGCTACATTAATATTTTTATTTTTATTTTTTATAGAGACAGGGTCTTGCTATGTTGCCCAAGTTAGCTTCGAACTCCTAGGCTCAAGCACTCCACCAGTCTTGGCCTCCCAAAGTGCTGGGAGCCACCCATCATATCTGGTCCAAGCTAGCATCACTTTATTTATAATTTTAAAATTTTAAGTTATACATTGAACTAAATGAAATCATAATAGATAATGTCATTAAAATTTTTTTTTCACTTTTTCTTTTCTCTTTTTTTTCCTGGAAGAAATGCAGAGATAATGTCATGTTTTGATGGAATGAATTTTTACAATCTTACTAATTATAAGAACTCAATGTGTCAGTTTAAATACTGAATTCACAATCCATGATAACTTTAAGAATTTAGATGAATATTAAATTGAGTAAATTAATGTTTAATCTTTGGATACATGAACAATTTCGAAATTGGAGAGTACAAAGTACACATCACTGAAAAGTTTACTCTATTCAAGTAACATATTTTACACAGTTTAAAATAATCATCAACACGTTAGAATATGGTTGCCTTAGGAGAATGACAATAGATATTCTTGCTTTCTGCCATGTTAGATTTGTAAAAGAGACATATAATGTGTATGTGTGAGTCCAGAAGACTGGGCAAGTTTTGAATGACTCCCTCCCATTACCTTCATGCCTATGAGGGAACGCAATTGCTTAATCTGTTTAAGGACTGTCATTAATACAAACAGCTCCGACTCTACCAGGTACTATAGCTACAGAGCAAAACAAATGAGCATATAAGATAATGACTATGTTTAGCCTTTATTTATTAAATAAGTTGTTATTGTTTGTTAATGGAGAAAACTAAGTGTAATATGAATTGTCACTCTAAAATAATCTTTTTTCTTGTTTCTATATACCCATGATTTATGTTCATACTTTAATGTGATAACCGATTTTCTCTGACAACTTTATTTTCTACCTATCCTAAATTCCAGCTCTAAATTCAAAATAACAAAACTATTAAGATACATTTAACACCAAAAAATTATCTCTGGGGTTTCCTTGACAGCTATTGGGTAGCCAACAACTTATTCCTGTACCTTAAAGAAAGGAGGGATGCT